AGCTCATTTCTGATTACCTAATTCCTCTGTTCTGTTGTTACAGGGCAGGCCGGCGGATCAGGAACTATATTCGACGGCACTAATAATAGTAGGTATAGGGTGTAGACTAAACCCGTAGCTCGAGAGCTACTATATAGCAGCATTTTCAATCAGGGTGACGATAACCCCCACCGCCAACCAACCAACACCCCGCCAACACAACCCCCACGCCACCACAAACCCAAAACCCCCCACCGAACCCCAACCCGCAACCCACCAAACCCCCCAACGTCCGCAACCTCCTCCAACTCAGAGATCCGCCCAACCACCACCCATACACACCAAAATACCAATACCCAACTAAAAACCACTAACTCCAACCAACTTCACCACACGAAAACCAGCCCCGGCACCACCCAATCATTTAACCGATCACTCTCACCCCCACTCACCACCCCTGCCTACCCAACGCACCCGCAATAGGCCCGCTAGCATCCCTTACCCCCAGCCATTCAACCCATACGACATGAAACTACGACTCCCACCCAACCCCCGGGTTCCCCCGCCGTGACCCTCAACGCCCTCCGATCATCCCGCAGAGACCTACCCCACGCCCCATCGAACCCGTGCTCCTGAACATCCGCCCCCCGCCCTACAACACCCCGGCAGCACTCTTCACCCCCTTGACCTCCCACCTCATTTCGTTCCCCCGAATCTGTCACATGACCCCCCCACAATCGACCCCCCTTCCCACCCCCTCACGTCCCCCACTATCATATCCGCGGCTCCTTTGGCATCCCCTTAACCCCCCCCCCCGTCACACGCCCACCCCGCATAGCACCCCGCACAATCCTCCTACAAACATCCACTCCTCTGCCCAATCACACACCCGACCCCCCCAACCTCTAACCATCCATGCCGCTAGCCCACCGCTTACCCAACCCCCCTCCCCTTTTCCTCTTTCCTCTCTGTCCCTCCGCTTGTCTCTCTTCCCTCTTCTCTTTCCCTTCTCATCTACACCTTAACACCTATCCTACGATATTATACTCTCCAACTAAAACTTTTTATTCATACCTCCTAGTCTTTTGACTTTATAATCTAGTAGTAAAGTTTCTGTAATGCTTCTAAAAGTATTTATAATATTAGATAGAACTACCCTAGGTTATAAATAGAGTTATACCAGGGGGTTCTACTTATAGCTTATAAATCTTACTAGTTTAGGGACTAGCATATATAATATCAGGGAGCGATCACCTGACAGGGTTTATATAGTAGATCCACTATTTCGAATATGTTCGAAACATTTTATATTTTTATAGATTAATAATAAAGTAGATTAACTTTAATATTATATTTTGAATACAAGAATATCTTATTCTAAGCTTCTTATTTATCAAACAGATTTAAATAAGAATAATTATATTTTGAATTTAATCTTAATAATTGACTCAATTATAATTATTTAAATTTCTAATATAATTCTATATTTATAAATCTATATTTATAAAACCAACTTCTTCCTGATTAATATATATCAGATAGATTTATATAAAATAAGAGTAAGTATTAGGGAGTAATTATCTAATAGAGTTTATATAATAGATCTACTGTTCCAAATGTATTCGAAACATTCTATACTTTTGTAGGTTAGTAGTAAAGTGGATCAACCCTAATATATAAATCTGTTTATTTCCTTATTATTAGATAATAGGATTTATTTATTAAAAGGAGAAAAGTAGTATTACAGGGTTAATATTAACTCATTTTAATCACCTGATTTCTATTCTATCCTACTATATATATAAAAGCAAAATAGAACTTTTAATTTTATCTTCTAATCTTTTAACTTTATAACCTAGTAATAAAGCTTCTAGATACTCTCAGAGGTATCCGTAATAAAATAAACGAAAATTTATTCTAATAAGGAATAAATAAATAAGAGTTTAATATATTATATTTCTTTTAAATTAAAATTAATAATATATATAAGTATGACATAGTGATATAATAACTAGGCACTAGATGCGTAGCTTACGTAATAAGCGTAGCGGATATACTTAAATAGTATAGCTTTAGCTTTAATAATAAGACAGCTTTTATAACTTATTTTATTTATTACCTATTAATAAGAATATATAATAATACGTTTATTTAAAAGAAATTATTTTATTTATAATATAAAATAAACTGAAAATTATTTTAATAAAGAATACTTAAATGAATATCTAAAATATTATATTTTATTTAATTAAGTTAATAATATATATCTTATTTATTTAAAAGAAATTATAAAATAAGTAAAATTTTATTTTAATAGAAAATACTCAAATAAAGTTCTAATATAGTATATTTTATTTAATTGAAATTAATAGTATATATAGGAATATATTATATCTCGTTTATTTAGAAGAGATTATTTAGTTTAAATTATAAAATAAGCGAAAGATTGTTTAATAAGAAGTAACTAAATAAAGATTTAATTATATTTTATTTTATTTAATTAAGATTAATAATATATATATTCAATTTATTTAAAAAACACTATTTAATTTAAATTATAAAATAAGCGAAAACTTATTTTAATAAAGAAAATAAAAATAAGAATCTAATTAATTTATTTTATTTTATTAAAGTTAATATTTTAAGTCTAACTCTCTATAGAAAATAAAATAAAAAGTATAGAATAGAAAGTAATAATATTAAAATGACTATTATTCTAAGTATATACTATAACTTCTAAGGAGAAGAGATCTATATAGAATAGAGCTCTTACTAGTATTAATTAGAGCTAGCTCCCCCTACTCTATAATTATATAAATTATACCTTTTAACAGTTAATAATATAAATAGAAATATATAATATAAGACATTAGATTTTTATTTAAATAAATCTTAATAATAGAAATTTTCGCTTATTTTATAATATAAAAAGAATTATTTATCTTATATAAACGAAATATTATATTTTCTTATATATAATATTAATAATAATTAAATAAAAATATAATATATTCGATTTTAATTCAATAATTCTTTATTAATATAAATATTCGCTTATTTTATAATATAAAGTAAATTAATATTCTTAAATAAACGAAATATTATATTTTCTTTTAATTACTATTAACTTTAATAAAATATAAAATAATATATTAGATATTAATTTAAATATTCTTTATTGAATTTATTTTCCGCTTATTTTAATATATTAATAAATTTATTTATTTTAAATAAACGAATTATTATATAAAACTATATATACTATTAATTAAAATTTAATAAAATATATAATATTAGATATTAATTAAAATTTTCTATATAAAAATAAACTTTCGATTTTTTTATAAATTAAATAAATTCATTTATTTAAAACAAACGGATTATTATATAAACTTATATATATTATTAATTTTAATAAAGTTTATTATAATATATTAAATATTTATTTTAATAGTTCTTATTGAAATAAGTTTTCGATTATTTTATATTATAAATAAAAAAACTCTCTTTAAATAAACGAAATATTATATACTTTTATATTTATTATTACCTTTTATTTAATAAAAGAAAATATAATAAATTAGATCTTTATTTAATTTTTCTTTATTAAAATAAACTTTCGTTTTTTTTTATAATATTAATAAATTTTTTAATTTAAAACAAACAGAGTATTATATATTATTATATATATTATTAATTTTAATTAAATAAAATAGAAGATATTAAATCTTTAATTATTAACTCCTTATAAAAATAAGTTTCCGCTTATTTTATAATTCAAATTAAATAACTCATTATAAATAAATAGAATATTATAAACTTTTATATATATTATTAATTCTAATAAAATATCATACAATATATTAAATCTTTATTTTAATATTTCTTATTAAAATAAATTTTCGCTTATTTTATAATATAAGTAAAATAATATTCTTCAAATAAACGAATTATTATATATTTTTATATATATTATTAAATTTAATAAAATAAAAGAGAATATAATATATTAGTTCTTTATTTAGTTATTCCTTATTAAAAGAGATTTTCGCTTATTTTATAAATTCAATTTTTTTATTTATTTTAAACAAACGAAATATTATATATTTCTATATATATTTTTAATTTTAATTAAATAAGATATAATTAATTGAATCTTTATTTAATTATTCTTTATTAAAATAGTCTTTTTCTTATTTTATAATATAAATAAAATAATTTTCTTTAAATAAACGACTAATAGCTATAAGAGTAAGTATATGAATATATATATTATAGATATTTATTATAGTAAATACTATCTTTAAATCTAAGAATATATACATACCTTTATTATCATCATCATTATTATCATCATCATTACTATTACTAGAATCAAAATAGAACCTATATAGAGTACACACACCCAACCTCTCTACTCCGAATCCCAAGTCCCCACACCACGAAAAGAAACCAATAAATACTCTCTCTCTCATAACAAAAACTTACCCCCCCCCCTACTTTTTCAACCCGAAGTCAACAAGCTCGAAATCCAATCTCATCTCATCGCATATCACTTCTGCAACTCAAAATAATCTCATATTCGCAACAGCTAGTAGAGTTACATGTGGAGAAATCTCACGTGCCAGAAATGATGCAAACACGAATATGCAAGTTCCGCCCTGTGCAGCTCTTCACATCACCGTATCAAATGCTACGCTTTAGAGCGACAATGTGCAAAGAATACTAAATTGCGTTCTACGCATCTATCATCAGAGTATAGCATGAATAGTAGTATTACCACAAAAATACTTTACTGCCCACATATCTTCCTTCAATCTTTCACCCTGCAAGTAATGTTGTGCTATACAATAAAAACCCATAAAATATCAGAATCTCCACTAAAATCTACAATTTACAAATGAAAATTTATTCGCAAAGCCCTTTAATGTATCTTCTTATCTTCTTATTGACCATCCTTTGACAAATGAAATCTAACATCCTCCATTCTTTCTCATCCATCACATTAACCTTGACACCCATCAAGCGGCTTCCGCCATGATCTGTTCACCCTCATCCAACATTTCAGTAATCTTACCCAGGTTCTGAATCATGCTACGACCCTGTCCCACCAACAACAATTTCTCCGCATTAGCCGGTAGACCCAAATAAGTAGGAGGTTCACGCTCGGGTAATTTCTTAACCCATTCTGTGAAATCTTTCATTGTAGTTCCGCTTGGTACGACTAAGTTTCCAGTCTCGGATTCATCACCTGCAACACCTTCGACCAATTTATGACCGATGTCATAGGCTGCTGGAGTCATGAAAGAGTGGACAAGTTGTGTGAGACGTGCGAAATCTCCTTCGTCGTCAATTTTACCACCGTATGTCTCCACGATGAGTGTGCGAAGCATATCCCAAGGGAGGTTTTGTGGGGCCACATTGGATCGTCCTGAAGCTACTGTTTCCACCCAGGTATCGATGATATACGCAGAACATTCATACTGTTAAAGGTTAATATAGTTAAAGGAAATTGAGTATGGCAGACTTACATCACTATCATTGAACTCCCAGAATCCTTTCCATCCAAGACTAGGAGCATATCTCAAACGCTCTTGAACGACGGCGTGCAAGAATGACAAGAGAAGATACAATCTTGTCCTCTCTACAGGAGTCTTTGTACCTCTGGTAGAAAGCGATGCCATAGAATCCTTCATGTTGGCTCTGACACCCGCTGGTTGCTCGTACATCAACACTCTGGATGCTCGCAACAAATTGACAGGAATCTTAGGACTGGATTCCATTGACAAGAACAATCTAAAGTTTGCATGAGGTTTGAGTGAATCCATACGTTTCTCCAGACTCTGTAGCCAGGTTGGTGCCAAATGAACGTTCTTGACAAGGACCCATGATCCATTGGCAGCTGCATTACTGATAGCCTTATCAGCGGTTGCTAATCCTTCATTAGAACCCATAGCAATGTTGGTACAAGCGGCTCGTGATTGCTCCACGAGGTTCTCGACTTTGTAACTTGCATCAAACCCAGGGCTTGAGCAAAGTGCAATAGGACGGCTTGCAGACACTTGCTCGACAATTTGCTTAAGATCCTCAGTGATGTCGAGAAGGCCAGTACCAAAGACTGCAGTAACAAATCGCTCAGCGGCAGGAACAAATCGATCAAGTCGGAAAAGCTTGATAAGCAACAAAGATATAAGCTCTTGATCTCTCTTTTCAACATTATCATCCCAGACTTGAGGAACGAAGTTTTCTGCCAGTTCCTCGGATAAGAAACGATCCCAAGCTTCGGAAGACACACCCTCAAGTTTACCCTTGAAAGCAGGAAGTTTAATTGCATTGCCCATGACTTCATCCTTCATGTCACCATCTGTTGACAAATCAGTGCCAACCACAGTCTCATCTAGAATGACGTCAATAAGACTCTTGTCCATCTTGTATGGAGCTGCTTGGGCGAGAAGCATTGCTAAGGTAATCTTGTCTTTCTGGAGTAGTCCTAGGGATGTACGCTGGTAGGCGGTGACAAACAAGTCTTCAACAATAATATCCCGACGTCTATCGTGGTTCGTCTCTGATTCTAGTCGCTTATTACCCTTTAGTACAGAGTGGAAAATGTCGAGGAAGTACTGTAGAGAGAATTGATAGAAATGGTTGAGGTAGTGTAATTGTTCAAGAACGGCGAAAATGGCACTGCAAGAGCGTGCGATGATATTGTACTGGAGTGTGATCTCATCAACCTCAGCCATTACACCTTCAGTGTTACCCATCTTCACGGAGATTTCTGCAGCTTCTTTCTTCAAGGTCTCAAGAGTTTCAATAACGTTGTCATCATCAAGAATATTGCCACGTGATTCGTTCAAGGCTTGCAGCAAGCGCTTCTCGAGCTGCCTAAGATGAACCTTGAATTCGCCTTGTAACTTGATAAGATTAGAGCGTCTCTCGTCCACATCAGGTCGTTCAGATTTGAGGACGTCATTGAGCGACTGTGTTTGCAAACTACTCTGTGTGACTGTGAAATTGACAAATGTCGTGCGACTGCAAATATCCGGTGCGAATGTTGCAGATGGATCTCTGGTGGAAAGGTAAATCTTGAATGCGGGCGAGAAATCGATTTCTTGCTTTCCAAGCTGGATGAGGACACGCCCACCAGTCTTTTGATACTCTTTGTTGAGGACGTGATTGAGAATTGGGTCGAGGTATTCAGCATCTTGGATAAGAATAGGATTTCCAAAACGAAGGGAGCTTTCTAGTTGTTTAGTGAAAGAGTCATCCAAGAAACTAGTGACGGTAAGCTTTCTGTCCTTGCTCTGCTTCTGTAAGAACTCTGTAGCGCGGCCAGAAGGATCAATAATCAATGGATATCTATTGAATCGTTTCAATATGATAGCGTTTTCGGTACAAAGGTCATCCACTGGTAGAGTGTCTTGTTGCCATCCAAGTCGCTCATCGGCACTTGAGAGATATTCAGTGACTGGGTTGTGTTGTTTGTAATTGACTCCAGACAAATGAAGTTGATGTAACCAGTCTTCCATCATGTTCTTTCGGTATTGCTGATCATAAAGACCACTGTATGCAAGAAAAGCAGCGGCAACAAGGACGTCACCCACAAGTGTGCTGATTTGTGTCTCAAACGACTTGCTTCCCTCTTCCCAGCGTATTCGTTCAGAAGAAAGACTGTCAAGCAATCGAACACTACGATCAACCTTGAATTGAACCTTTGACATCTCAGACTTGATAGCCTGTGTTTCACTGATCAGAGCTGCATATTCTGTCTTGTAAGTTGCAATACTTTGTTCCAATGTGTTGATAGTGTTCTCAATGGCTTGGGCCTCAGCTTTGGTTTGTAGGGCTTGTTCCTCGAGCAACCCAACCTCCTCTCTCAGTGGTCCTACACGATCAAGAATTTCAGAGTAGTTGACTTGAGCCTGAACCCATTGAACAAGTGGTCCACAGGCTTTACTGGCACGGTTGACTTTTTCGTAAGTGAAGTCATCGTTTGAAAGAAACTCGTTGCGCATCTTTACACGTAGATTCTTTGTCATCTGCCTCTCGTTGTCATAGTTGACAATGCTGGCAATGAAGTCATCTTTTCTGATGATACCCTGTACTGTCTTCCAACTCTCGATCTTATGGCCAAGGAGAGTGCAGACTGAGTCCAGAGCAAGTTTGACACCCTGAGGTGGATTACCCATAGAACGAACTTCAGTTAGATGTTGTCGCTTGATGTTGCTAACGCTCTTTTGAGCTTCGATAACAGCAGGCTCGGCGTTGGCCAAATCGTTGAGTACAACCTCACGACGTTCAGCGACTTCTTTTTCCTGTATTTCTAGAGCAGCTTGAATTTCGAGTGAAGTCGTTTTACGTTGCTCAGCCTCTCTCTGGTCCGCTACCATGCGCTGCAGTTTCTCATTGGCTTCTGCATCTTTGCGTTCCAACTGACCTTTCTTGTCTGCCAAGCTAACTCTAAGATCGCGCACTTTATCGACAGTATCTCTGAGCTTTTCCAAACCGACATTAAGATGTCTTTGCTGCTCCTCGAGATCATCTCGTTTCTCCGTGTACAACTTGACGTATTGAGCCACGAAGTCTAAGAAGTGTCTAGGTGTGAGGAATGTTACTTTGCCTTGCTGTTTGAATAATTTGACATTGAATCGGTGTAGTGAGTAATGAATGTACACCATTGAATTGATAATCGTCTCTCTATGATTTGCTGGCAAGCTAAGGTCTCGATATGCAACTGGAATGCTGTCTGGTGCTGTGAAGTTTGGTCGATCAAGATCAACAGATTGAGTCAGTTCTGTGCCTACTTGGAATAGTGCTTGATCAGACCAATCTCCAAACCAGTTCAGTACGCAACGATTGAAGAGAGCAGGACTAGTTGCAGCCTTAGAAGATAAGCCATCTTCAGGGGGGTTCATGGTGAAGACAACGTGCAGATTCTTCACAATTTGCCCGGTGAACCACTTGTAGAGCTCTTCTTGGGAATCGAGTAGGAGTCCTTGACGCTGGGCACCTTCTTTGCAGGCTGTCATCAACGATGCGAATTCATCGCCTTCGAAAAGACCTGGAACTTCAGCATTTGCGAGCAGGGTGTTCATTCTTTCCAAGAAGCCGGAGTCGAGGACATTTGATTCGTCCATGATGAAACATATCTTCTCTCCCTTACAGCCACATCGACGTAGTACATCACGTAGATCGTCATCGAAGTCTTCAGCGGAATATTTACCATGAACCTTGATTTGGAAGACTCTGAGACCATTCATCCAAGCAACAAATCGAGACAGCGTTGTCTTACCACTTCCACTAACTCCAATAAGAATCAAGTGACCTTGTGGTTGTCTGAAAACACGATCAATACGAAGTACATGCTCCAGAACATCGTTGAACAAAATAAGTGGGACGTCAACCTCTTCTTCACAGAATGTCTTCAAACGCGCCTTAACAAACTCTCTCAATTGTTCTCTGTCGACTGGGACGTAGTTCTTCGAGAGCCAGTTGGAGAACAGAATTGGTCCTCCAAGAGCTTTATCTTCATCGATAGTAGGGAAGAAGTCAGTTGCAATGCGATGGACAGCATCGTCGGTCCATTTACGTTCATCTTCAGCCACGAGACGGTCTTGAAATAATCTCAGAGCTTCATGAGCCCAGATTCTGACTAGACCTTCAATGCTAAGTGTCTCAAGTGGTCGTATGGCTTCGTAAATGCCGCGAACCCAACGGGTAAGCTCACGAGGACTGTACACATAATGAGGTTGGATTTTAGGAGTAAAGCGTTGCTGTGACTCGGTGTAAAATCGGACCATAGCTTTTGTCAATGCTTCAGAGTAGCCTCTCAAAGCGGGAATAATCTTGAGAACAGCGTTATTGAAAGTGCCGTAAATTTGTTGGAGGGACAGTTCTCCTGGATAATCAACCATGATGAGTGGTGCGTGCCGCAAGAAACGATCTCCCATGGGTGTTCTACCGGCATCTGTTGGAGGATTACAAGCACCCACAAACTGAATGCGATCAAGCGTGACCCAGGTCTTATCTGACGTGCGCCAAAATCCGTTCTGCTCCACTAGCTGACGCAAGAAAGAGATGGCTCTCTGCGTGCCATACTTATCTGGGGCGGGCAAATTTATTTCGTCGCAGAAAAGCACAAGCCAACGACCAATTTGAGTAGGTGAGAGCATGACTCCATTCACAGTTTTCTTGTACTCACAATATTGCTCAAACGTCTTGATCAACAAATCTGGAGTAGTTGCACTAGAGAAATTGAGTCCAACGACCTCCATATTAGGGAGTTTACGTAGAGCACTGAAAAGAGTCATGGTTTTTCCGGAACCAGGCGGACCGCACAAAAGTAGGGGCTTGTGTTCTGCTAGCCAGGAGTATAAGACATCCTCGTGACGCACTGTATCAAGAGTAGGAATAACCACATCAGTTTGCGTGACGGAGTGCGTATTGACTTCGATAGTGGGTACTTGATTTTGCCATGAAGACCATTCAGCTTGGGGTAGAGTCACATCAAAATCGATGAGAGAAGAGTTGTCGCCCAATATTGGATTTCCAAATGTTGCCAACCCGGCGAGGCAATCTCCAAAGCTCTTACGATCTCCCAATGGGCAATCACCAGTTAACGACCAAACAAGCGCGAGAAGAAGCTTTTTGGCGATAAATGATTCGATTTGATCTGGGTCAAGTGGAAAGTCGACATGTTGAGAATTATACTCGATAATGTCTCGTACGGCCTTGTTCAAGAGAGAGAAAAGTGTGTTGAGAACGCGAGATACAGTGTAATCCATGATGTGGTTGAATCCTTCGGCGCGTTCCAAAGCATTGATGATGAAATCTTCTGTTGTGAGGAATGTTTGAAGAAGGTCCGCCACGTGAGATTGAATCTCCAGCGCTTGGGCGGCACTTTGTCCTGTTGCAACGGCATCTTCATCCAGATCCTCGAAAGCCTCGGACCTCAGTTTTTCTAGGTAATTGGTAACCATCATGTTGGGAGTAACAGTGTCCTCGCTAAACCAGACCATACCACATCTACTTACAGTTGCCAGAGTAGCGTACTTCAAAGTTTCGACTTCGAACATGATTCTGACGTTTCCGGGAAGATTGAGACGTTCACCATTAGGTAGAGTGAGCAGTTTGTTATCATCCAAAACACTGTTCAAATTCTCAACCCATTCAGGATCTACATCACCATCAAAAACGATCCAGTGTCTCTTTGACTCCTCGCCACGCAAATTATCTACGATCTTGCGGAGGATGCTTGTGAATAGACCATCGGTCCATTCACGAGTAGTTGAATCGAGGTTACCGTAGAGAGCTTCCTTCGACATGACTTTTGAGTCTATGATATGGCACACCCCTTCGACTCCTTCAACTTGCTGCAAAGCTTGTAAGAGGACCTTCCAAGCCACTGACTTTCCAGAACCAGAATTTCCGACCATCATCACACCATGATGGATGCCTTGAATTTGATAGAGCTGAAGAATTTTAGTCATCCAGGTTTCATTCACTACCAAATGCTTCTCTTTAGCAAGGCTCTTGATAGCATTCTGAAGGTCATCTAAGCTAGCGGGAACGTATTCAACGCCGGGGAATGACTCTGCTTCGATGGCTCTCATGATTTCCACGTCGCTCTTGATTAATTTAGGGGCAATTGTCTCTCGAAGACTCTGTACAATAATTTGTGGTTCTACCTCCTCTTCAGGCCCGAGGTTGCCATCGGAATTTGTTAGACGAGCACGTTTGAGCCCACCAGAACTGACAAGCACACTCTTCAAGGCACGCAACCCAAAGTCATAATGAGCTTGTTTGGAAAGTCGCGCAGCACATCTATCGAAAAATGGTACAGTCTGCTTAGAAAGCTGTTTCGCTTGATTGAATCCTTGTGAGTATAACATGACTTCCGCGATAAGCTCTTTGTCAGGCTTGGACATAGCAACACTTCTGAATAATTTCTTCAAATTATCTGGCAAGTTTGATCGGCCAGCATAACCTGGATTCATTGTAATGAATAGTCCGGTATTGGCGTTCACGTGAAGTTGTCTGCCAACCAATTCAATTTGTGCCTTCTCATCCTCCGCGCCTTGTTTTAGACCGAGCTGGATGTTCTGAACTTGTTGAGAAACCGCAGATAAAATACGCTCCTCGAGTCGATTGAACTCGTCAAAACAACCCCAAGCACCAACCTGACAGAGACCCAGGAAAATACGCCCCATAGCCTGGAAGTCGAAAGTGTCATCACAACAGAACACCAGGGTGAAACGACCTAGCTGAACACCCAGAGCTTTCACGGACTCGGTCTTTCCTGTACCTGCTGGACCGTAAGGTGAGCCACCTAGGCGCTGACAAAGAGCTTGCGTGAGTGTCAGGAAGCATCGATCCGTCAATGGTGTTCTGACAAGACGTTCTGCTACACCCAAATACTCGAATCCGTAATTGAGCTTCGCGTTGGCCATTTTAATGTAAAGGCGTTGCAGGAAATCGCCTTCTGGCTTGTAGACATACCTCATCTGCAGAAGCCACATATAATGATTAGGCGTACTTGCATTGAGGTTACGTAGCTTTTCAATGACATCTCGTTGGTGGACACACTCAGTGATGAGGTGCTCGCATCGTTTTCTCTGAATTGGGTCGAGGTCACCTAGAACAGTGGACGCAAGAAGGCGAAGTACTTTGACCTCCTGGTCGAATAACTTTTGCAAATCGGCGCCTTCGTTCTCAAGCGCTTTTTCTACACAAGAGGTCCAAACAGCTTGCGTACCCAATACAACGATTTGACTAGGGAATGCAGAAATGTATTGATTGAGGGCTTCTTGGTCTACATCATCCGCGGTGAAAATTTTCTCGTACTGTTCAACAGCCTCTGCAAGCAATTCGGCGAGAGTTGACTTCATACTGTTTTCAAGCAAAGTTAACCAGTCGTTGATCTTTGGAGTCTTGATCAAGGATATCTCCTTCTTGAGTCTGACCTCCTCGCCCTCTTTTGAGGTGAATCCTGAAATTACTTGCTCTTCATCCATGATTAGACCAGATAAGCCGGCAAACATCTTCTTGAAGTGCTTGGCAATTCGTAATGTATCGTTGCTGTTACCGATGATTTCAAGCAAATCTTCATCACCAACAAAGTAAAATCTTGGAAATGACACACGCTCTCTTTCAAGGTACTCACCAAGAGCCTTTTGGATCTTGTTCAAAAGTTCTGCAAGACGTTCTAATGATTTTTGAACACCAGATATGTTGAGTACATCCAATACAAACGGTTGCTTGTAGACCTTTTTCATTACTGCGAAGAATTCAGAATTGATGTTCTGGAATCTTGAAGACTCGATTGGTAGGAGATGTTTGATATCTGCATTTCCGGTGAAAACTCCTTCAAGGTAAACCCATTGGCGTTGGACGTCAATCCATACATCAAAAAGCACGTGTACGCGATTAAGTTTATCTTCCCACGACGCAGCTTCTTCCTCGAATTCCTTGTAATAAGGAGAATGTTTCATTGCTTGTAAGGAGTTCAGATTTTCACTGCATTTTGCAAACAAGTCATCCCAACCACGAATAAGACGGCACTTGTTCTGATAATTCACAAGATCTAGTGAGTAGTTGGACCAATCTTCGCGAACCTGCCTCAAGAACTCTTCCAAAGCCATTTCGCCTTGGGCCTGTGCAATGATATCTCTTATTATCTTCTCGGTGGAGACAAGATTTAGATCCCAAACTTCCCCTAGAGTCATTGATATTGGCGAATAGCGTTTCCCGGGTTTCAAATTTTTGAAGATTTTGTTCCAGTGGCGGTCTCTGACAGCCTCGGATTTTAAATCTGTAACCACAGGATTAACTTTTAGAAACTGTCTAAGAACATTTTGAATGTGCTCAAATGCAGCATATTGTCTCATTCGACTTGGCATTTCCTTGGTCATCTTAATGAGGCCATCAATAGCGGATCTTAATTTTCGGGGCTGAACGCTTGTCCACAACATATCGCGGAGGTCATTAAGACTTTTCCATATGGTCGACAAAGCAGCCCATACAGACTTGAAGTCCTGGACTTCTTCGAGAATAGCCACAAGTGCTGTATCTGCAGTTGCCGGAAGATCTAAAGCCTCTTTAGCGCGAGCAACCATTTCCGACTCCTCATGCAATTTTGTGATGCGACTTTCGAATGAAGTGAGAGTTGCAGATGCCACATCTGGAGCAATAGTGCCAGATACAGGCTTTTCTTCGTTCCATTGGGCAGTGATCTCTGCAATTTTCTCTCCAACTACCCTGTCCTCTGCAGTAATCTTGGCACGTAATGCGTCGGTCTGATCTTCCACGATTTTAGCTTTTCGAGCTAGGATTTCATTGAGAGCAGTCCATTCAGAATCGATTTGCTCTACTCCTAGCCAGTCCATGGGAAATTGATATCTTTGTCTAACAAGCGTGGTTTGTCCTTGCCTAAAAGTTTCTACCTCTGGGCCCCAAGCCTTTACCCTCCGCTTGCAGGTCTGTACAATGGTGATAAATTGCACAGCTTGTGCCGTGGACGATGCTTCTAAGGATTGTACTTCGAGATCACGCCGTGCTTTTTCAATCTCAGCATAGACTTCACGAACACGGTTTCCAAGGCGACTTCCAAATTTGATCAAGATCTCGTGTTGCCACTGATCATATTTGGCATTGACCTTTGTCTGGACCTGATCGTAGTCAATGGTAAGATGTCCGAAGGATCGACTCACTTCAGTTGTGTCGAAAGTGGAGCGAGTTTTCCTGATCTCTTGCAAAAGCTGGAGCCACTTTGAGAGTTGTTCACCCAAGGTTTCATACACGAGATCAGATTGAAGATCCCATAGTGATTGAAACTGTAGCCATTTGTCAACGTAGAGGCTAACTTCGTGCAGTTTTGCTTCAACGCATTTGTAGGCTCTCAGAAGTTCATCTGCACAATCTCGTGGGAGTTCTGTGAATAGCTCTTCCGGATCATTAGTCGTTCCCAAGGTCATGACATACCGAGAAGCCTTGACCTTACGAAGATGGCAAACGACCCCAAGCCACTCATGTAGTTGGGAAAACCAGCTAGCTCTGGCATATTCTAAAGGCGGGTCCAAGTAGATGACTTGGTTACGCATGGAGATCTCGTGTACCAGTCGCTTCATGGATGGTTTATTCTCAGGCGGAGACTCGGTCAAGATACTGAAGTGCTTTCTGCGGCTGTCGTCGTTGACACCGTCAGATCGTTCATTTTCAAAAGTATCAATCCACACTTCGATTGCTTGTTGTAGACGCCTCAGGAGAGTGACCTTGATACGGTCATTCATTTCTCTGACCCAATAAGGCAAGTTGACGTAGTTCTCGAGGTTCAACTGATCAACAGCCATCTGAATCGTTTCCAAACGGGCCTGAAATGCAGTTACTTCGTAAGGACACTTATCTAACTCTGCTAGGGTTTTCTGAATCGTCGCATTGATAGAAGCGAGAGTTTCTGTCTTGCTTTGTAATAAGGCAACTGAGGCAGCGATCTCGCGAACAAATTGCACATGTTTGCTCTCGGTTCGATTGGCGATGGCAGGTTCAATTGAACCCTTTGTATACGTGGGTTTGATGTGGATATCATATGAGTGCACAAACGACTCCCATTTCAGAGAAACTCCACGAGCAATCAAGGCTTGAACTTCGTGCTGGTACCCACTTAGAAGTATTTGAACATCGGCCATTTCGGCTATTTGACGACTGGTTTGTGTGAATGTCCGAACGGTTTCCATGAGACTCACAGCGTAGGGATATACACGCTTCGCATCCTTCGATATGTTGTTGATCTGATGAGGAACAGGGTAATTCAACCATTGTAAGTTTCGCGTCTCTTTAAAGAGCGCGATCACTTGATGATCGAAGTTGACGGCTAATTCCAAGGCATTGTTTGCTGCACGGATCTTATTTATGTTGAAAAGTCTGCCAGAAATGGTAACATGCTTTCGCTGCACATCATGAAGCCATGCCTCAAAGATTGGCCGAGTATCCAACTTATTGCGAAAAAGATTGCTATCACTGAGAAGCTTCTGACCCTCGGCGTGAAGCGCCCATTCAGTCCCAAGTACGTCTTCAACTTTTTTCATATATCCATTGAGCTGTTTCTCAATTTGGCGAGCCCAAATAATCGCTCCCGAAACAGGAGGCAGATCTCTAAGCTGTGCCATTGCATGGGCTTCAGAATGGCCATATTGCTGCTTGAATCGCTCGTGTAGGGAGGATATATCATGTTTCACATTGTCGATAAGTTGCGTTTGATATTCTGTGATGGCTCCACGGATTTTTGGACGGACAAATAGAGCATTGAACTTAGAAAATACTCGAAACATCTCACTTGCTGTCTTGGCAGTGGCTAATCGATCTCGCAATCGGGCAATAATTGAGTTCTCAACGCGCGATGTTCGTTCATTATAAGTACTCTCTGCTTGAATCCACAATTGCGTTCCCTCGGAAGAAACATCAAGCATATCTATATTGCTCAACGCAGCCCAAGCTTGTTTGATTTCCTCAACAGCATCCACGTCGCCCATCTCTTCTACTAAAACAACTCCATTGGCTCCACCCTCTGGAACGTCATCACCAACCTTGGGTGCTAAAACATTGATTATTGTTCGCTGTAGCTGTTCGTGGTTATCTCTGAAGGTGCTCACATATTTCAGACGTGCTTGCAGCTCTGCGTGCTTTCCGATGATTTTTATGGGCATGAATTTCTCGTTTCTTCGACGTGTGACTTCTCGAGCAACGTTGGTGAACTCCTTTAGATTGTCATCCCAAATGGCCCAAATTGAATCGGCGACAGACATTAACTTTCTGAAATCTCGATACTCCAAATGCATCAAGGAGCGACCGTGAAGTAGGACGTGAAGTCGATTGTCAAGGTCTGCAGAAATTGCTTCTACCAGTGGTAAAGCACGTCGAACTGGGTATGGACAAATGCGCAATTTTTTGTTCAAGTGCCCAAAAATAAGACCCAGTGCATCGCCAACCTTCTGTAACGAAGTTGCTGAAAGCAATTCATCGAGAGGGAAATCTCGCATAAGTTGATTGTACTTCTGTACTTTATCGGTTGACTCCTTCAACCCAGTATCGGATGTGAAACTGAGAGTAGCCTGGAAACGTTTGGCGTGTCTTAATATCTCAAGAGTAAGCATTACTCCATCGCTGGCTAATTGTGCACCAATATTTTCGAGTGTGGACTCCATGGCTAGCCAGAACTGAATTTCCTGTGATGCAGTACCGCTTGTTGGATCCCGCGACAACTTTGTAATAGCTTGTATTGACTTGATCCATCCGTTTACTAGAGACTGCAGGTTGTTGAGGAAAGCACTGTCGTGCAACAATCTCTCCGGAATGAAATCCACAGATGGCTTGCGTTTACGAGCGACTGCTTCATCAAGTGCATGCTGCACCATTGGGTGTAGTTGAAGTGTCAAATCGGGAATATCAACATTATCCTGAAGATGTCGCAAAGCCAACTCCAACTCTGCTAACTTCTTTTTGGTGGCAGAAACACCGGTCTTGGCCTCAAGCTCTGATATACTTCGGTTCCCACTCGCTGCCTGTTGTTGTTTTGTATACGCATCGAAGTATGGCACCAGCGCTAGATGCACAAATGAATGTAAGATAGAAGCTCCCGCCTGGCCATTTGTGGATTCATTCGGCAACGCTGCGCCAGGTAAATTAATAAGTTGTATTTGAGAAGATATGGGTATCGCAGGGTCTATAGGTTGCGGTCCTTTCATAAAAGCGACAGATCCGGTTGTGGAAGAAGAGGAGGAAATGTCAGAAGCCAAACTATAGTTGTACAAAATAGAACCTGCACTCTGTTAACAAACGTTCTTCGGGACCAAATGGATGGGGCTCTTACTTGATTCATCTGGGGAATCCTCTTCCTCTCGTAGAACTGCATCTTTCTGTACGTATATTACAGCTTGGTGAGATTCCGATGCAAATCTGGTGCATCGCTGAGCAGTATCAGAGTATTGGGCTTCAGAAAGAAGACTACCAGGGTGCTCAAGGTCATCTCGTGTTGCTCCTAGAGTGATCTCAAGAACGGATGCAAGAAAGTCGACAAGCACCTTGGGTTCTATCGAAGGAAATGCGCTCGTTCCGACCCCGTTTGCTCCATTTCCGGAGGGACTTGCGGTGGAGTCAAGCAAGCTCATGGCTGTCAAGTTGATAATTTATAGGGTTGTATTCATCACCGGTGTATTTTATTTCTTCTATGTCATAAGGTGATCTTAATAAAGTAAGGGATTTACAATATATTGTAAGGGGGTGAATTTGTTGATTTCTGTGGTAGGAAAGTGGGTGGTAGGATGGTAGAACCCAAATACCGATGCTGTATTTAATTACATTGATTTTGTTGTCGCGACCGCGATTTCAACCCCTGTCGCTCTAATCATCCCGCTCGCTAGTGCTTAGTGTCATGCAATCATTCTTGACTTCCCTTTCTCTCTCTCCTATTAATATAACTCCCGCTTCTAGAATAAAACAGACATTTCACTGCCGATACCGATTACCTAGGTAGAGGTGGTATGTCTTTGATATCCATCTCCTTATCACAGCGGAGAAAATACCTCGTGGACTTTATTACGATTCCGAAATGGGAATAACATGGTGTTGTTTCTACATAGGAGACAGAAAGATCTTACAACACTCACACATCACATTTCCATAGTAAGATCGAGCACGCATTGAGACTTGAATGCCATGTGCTGGAAATGTAATCTTATAAGCATTCACATTCGTTCAAACAATCATTTTTTAATAGACATCCACACCCAAAGTGCATATTCAAATCTTTCCAAGCAGTCAAATATATCCAGACATCCGCATCCATTGGCACATTCACATTCATATTTGAGACACTCTAGGTCTTCCAAAGCAACACAAAATTTCAATGCAGATCATATAACGTTTACTCAATCGCAATAACATGCTCAGCATCTTGCACTTGTCAAACTACAGAGCACTGAGTGCGGGGAATGCAAAACACGCGATCTGCACGGTGCTAGGTATAACAATGAATCTGGCTGACCTGATGTGCATTACATACCTACCTACGTACGGCTTTTTGCAGTCGTGCAAATAACAACCAGGCCCATATTGACAGTATGGATACTATGTACAAATTAGATGTGATGCGTAATGCGAGAACCTACGGACGCCAAGCATGCGAATTGATGTACATTGGACTTTTATACAGTCCACCCTGGGGTTTCGGAATTTATCCAGTCGCCGTTCGTGAAGTCGGTAAAAAGTTTGGGTGATAAGGAAGAGTGGAGGGGTTCAGAATACATGTATATTGAGACAACAGCCAAACTAATCAATCAAGGCCAACGCCAGGAATTCCACTATCCGAACCACTGCCGCCAAAAGGTCCAACATCTAAAGCTGCATCCGCTGCAATCATTTCTGCAAGAATATCGAGGACCGGCTAGTCTTTTGTCAGTCTCTTGGTTGATAAAATTGGGATGTGAGAAGCTACCTTTGGCACTGTCTTGTCGTAGATAGATATTAAATCATTTGGTTGAGGATAAACTTTGAGTGCCTTGTAAAAACAAAGTGCTGCTTCTATGGGGTCGCCACCTGTGATCGAGTGTTAGATTCGAGACCTGGCTTTCTTCGTGAAGATCACTCACCCTCTGAGCTTAAGCCTTCTCCTCTAGCAACCTCTGACATGAAATATGCCTCCTTCTCCTCTACGTCTACGGGGAACCCATCTTCCTTGGCCTCTACAACCACTGCCTTGATAACTTCTTTTTGTCTCTCATTGTGAGCTTCCGCTTCCTCCTTCGCGGCTTTTGCTTGTCGTTTCGATTCTTTCTTCAATTGTTTGCGAAAGTTTGGATCGGTGCGTCTCTTATGGTCGAAATAAATTGCGTAGGCTATGATGAGAATTGTGAGCAAATTTGGAAATTCTATTCGAGAATAGAAATCACCTACCGACCAATCCTGTAGCAACTGTGCCAACACTGGCAGCGACGATTGTGGAAGTCTGAACCATTTCGTAGAAATTTGTGCGATATTAAAGAAAGATTCGGGAAGAAAAATGAAGAAGCTTATCAGCTGTGGTCGTCTACGGTATTGATGGGGTTGATCTCAAGTCTCCAAAGCTCAGAAATGTTTCTTACGGCCAAAGCTATCGATAAATTTTGGGAATTTTAGGTCCAGCGGCTCTCGGACCAATCTAAATCCACCCACCAAATATTTTGAAAGGACAATCGTCGCGTCCTTGTCAGATTGATTGATTGGCACTCAATACGGGTAGCTAGTTCGTCGTCATAATCCTTTTACCTACGGTAGTCATTGGCTTCACAATTCAATTGAATTATTCATTACATCTTATTACATGATAATTGGAAACATCATTTAATTGACTTTCTTCTTTTCAAGTCCAATTGACCAATTGACCAAATTAGCTACAGACAAACATAGGTCTGCGGGAGCGCTTGCTCCTTTCGGTTACTCCTACTCTGGGATATATATCTATGGACCAACCTGAACCTTAAAACACGTCCCTTTCGATATATAACTTCCTCTTACTCATCAACTCAACCCTCATTTTTTTGCTCTTCCTTGCGCTGTAAATACAATATCATGTCGGACGAAAGGAAAGGCGTGTCTCTAAGGACCAAGAGGAAGGGTCGTCCAGCAATAAGTGCTCCCAAACAGATATCTGGTCCAATTCCACAAACAGGAGGAGATGCTTCACGAAGTGCTGGGCAGCCATCCTTTAATGCCCCGCCCACGCAACGTCCTCAGCCTGGCGGAAAGGTATGTCAAAGTTTATCTTGAGTTTTCCTGTTAGAAAGGTCTTTTTATTTTTGGTATGGTTGCTAATAGACGTCATAGACATCTGATCTAGTGAAACGACGATACTCTACTCGATTTAATAATCTTCCCTCTGACTTCGACCCTTCCGCTCCTCCTCTCCCATCGGTTCCTAATCTACCAGCTCAGTATGCCCCAGCAAATGACCGTTCACGAGGTCCCTCGCCGGCGAGAGGACCTGGCTTGGTGGTAGACCAGAGAGCTCTGCGCGATCCCAATTTGAGGCCAGATGTGTACGTAGCGGGACTGCTAAGTGATGCATCGGAACAAGATATTGAGGACTACCAAACCAATCTGAGGAAGATGAAGAATCGTACTTCTACGGATTTACAGCAAAATGTGTATCAAAATCGAACGCAGTTCATCAAGATTAGTAAGGAAGCAGAAAAGCTCAAAGGGGAGATGCGCGCACTCCGAAATCTGATGGCGGAACTCAAAACCAATACCACTGCGCTCAGAACTACCTCTTCACAAGGTCCATCATCCTCGTCGACTGATTTTGACGGCTTTCCACCAACTTTGAGCAAAAGGGACAAGCGAAGTTCTGTGGCAGACCGAACTGCCATGTGGAACTCGCAGCTTCAAGTAGGTCCACGCTTTTCAAGTGTTAATTGATGTAGGAGTACTAATTTTGCTAGGCTTTATGGAAAACCATTGAGGGCTCCCAAAAATTTCTACCAGCAGCCCCTGGTCGTCACGTGGTACAAAATGCCGGGCTTTGGATAGAGCTTGATAACGCTACTTGGAAATCTCGAAGAGCCATGCAGATTGTGCTGTTGAATGATCATCTTCTAGTTGCATCGAGAAAAAAGCGGAAAGTCGAGGGCGCCGATCAACGACAAGCGCCATCAAAGTTGGTGGCAGACAGATGCTGGCCACTTTTAGACATTGAAATTGTTGACCTTGCAGGGACGAGTGAAGGGACTAGTGTGCGTAATAAGTTGGCCGATGCGATCATGATTAGAGGTGTAGGTCAAGAATCTTTTACATATCGAACGGAAAAACCAGGTGACACAGAAAAGTCCTCTCTTATGATGAACTTTCGAAAGGCAGTAGAAGAGCTTCATAAAGGCCTCCGATCGGAAATGGAAACGAGCAACAAGGCCAAAGAAACGATTAACTACTTTGCTTCTCGTGACCCGGGATTGTTAAAAAAGACAGATTTACTCGAGACTCTTTCGGACATCAAAGATATGCTTATCGAAGTTGATGGCAAGCAGCAAAATCTGCGGTGGGTGGAAAGTCAGGTTGATGAGTTGGATATCGAAATCGCACTGCAGCATTTTGACATGGCAGTCCAACGAGTTGCAAAACTAAACTCCTTAGCCAAGGGTCTTAAGAGCAATATCGTCGCCCAAGATTTCATCAGTTTTAAAGCGGATGAAAGAGCCACCAGACTTGCAGAACTAATCACCCGTGAACTTGTTGATACACATAATGAACCGAAAAAAGTTAGACGCAATATCAGCTGGTTAACAAGTCTTGGCTTCGAGGATCGGGCAAGAGAAGCGTATCTTGAAGCTCGGGGGGATATCATTCATAAGAGATCAAGGTATGATTCAATGACTTTTATTTAATCGACTTCACTAATTTTCATAAAAGACAATGTATATTCGAAGGTAATCTTCACCAATATATCTGGGAGGTATCATTCGTTTACTTCACAATAATACGGAATACTGTGTCAACCTTTCAAGCCTGCTTTCCACAGCCTCTTATGAGCGCATGTGTCAAATGGGCCAAAGAGCAGGTCGATGCGTTCAATGTTATTCTTGCACGACAGCTTAGCAGTACCGAGAAGAACGGTCAAGTATGGACGGATTGTATGGATCAGGCAAGAGAGCATGCAAAGATGCTCTCCGAAGTTGCTTTAGACTTTAGCAGTCTCATTGGTTCAACCCCGATAGATGTTCTCAATGGACCCAAAGGCGTAGGGTTAGGCTTGGCGTAATGCTGTATCAAATGGGCAAACTGGTATACATATCTAAACCAACTTTAAAACTCGACCAAAGATATCTTTAGAGAATGTTCAAGAAATACTATCAACGTAGGTGTCTATCTACACTCCTACAGCAATTTAGTCATTGGATTTATGAATTTAATAAGACATTCACATCCCTTTCGCTGTTGCGAATACTTAATTTTGCTTCCGTGATTCATTGATAAACAAAGTTGAGAAAATAAAGCTAATAAATATGACATCTGCATTGACGCATGCTCTCTTGCCTCTTCCAAATATAAATGCCAAATCCTCTTCATTGCGATCTTGAAATCTGCTTATTAAGCGAGGAGCTGTTCCTTTCAAATAATCTGCGCACCGCTTCTACAACCTGAAAGCCCCTCCACCAACATTTCTGCACGACGAACGCCCTGAAATCTTATGATAAAATTGCTTTTGCGATTCTCAACATAAGATACTAGTTGAAGTTGCGCGGACCGCTTCCCGAAAGAACAACAAACTTAAATAGCCCTTTTGACGACCAACCCGCGCGCTTGTCGTCACCAAGCTCGAGCAATTCAATATCGACAACCAAATTAACAACAAACCATCAAATTTATCATACGATAGAATGAACACAATGGATACAGATATGGCAGATGTAGGCAGGACGGTTGAGCCCACGGGATTATCTCCAGTAGCAGAACCTGCTTCAATACCAACTCTTGATGGGTGGATTGAGAACTTGATGGCGTGCAAGCAACTGGCCGAGGTCGACGTTCAGAGGCTTTGCGATAAGGTATTATTGTTTGCGAATCTTGTCATATTCTCAGACTGCATAGTATGAGCCAGCTAATCAAGGGCGCGTTACCAGGCACGAGAAGTATTGCAAGACGAGTCGAATGTACAGCCGGTGGTATGCTTGCCCTTTTCGTGTTGGAATTCAAAGAGCTGATCAACGATCTAGAAATGCCCTGTTACTGTCTGCGGAGATATTCATGGGCAATTCCATGATCTGATGGAGCTCTTCAGAATTGGTGGACCAAACCCAGATACCAATTATCTATTTATGGGTATGCCTCCTATCCCTTACTGTACTGTTATTTCCTGGAATTACTGACACGTTATCATAGGTGATTATGTTGATCGAGGTTATTACTCAGTCGAAACTGTCACTCTTTTAGTCGCTCTAAAAATAAGATACCCCCAAAGAATCACCATCCTCCGTGGTAACCACGAATCCCGCCAGATCACTCAAGTTTATGGATTTTACGACGAGTGCCTCCGAAAATATGGAAATGCAAATGTTTGGAAGTACTTTACCGATCTCTTCGACTACCTTCCCCTCACCGCCCTCATCGACAACCAAATCTTCTGTCTCCACGGAGGTCTTTCCCCCAGCATTGACACGTTGGACAACATCAGAGCTCTTGATCGTATACAAGAAGTGCCACATGAAGGTCCTATGTGCGACTTGCTATGGTCGGATCCAGATGATAGATGCGGATGGGGAATATCCCCTAGAGGAGCAGGTTACACTTTCGGACAAGACATTTCGGAGGCGTTCAACCATAATAACGGATTGACCTTAGTCGCAAGGGCTCATCAATTGGTCATGGAGGGATACAATTGGTCTCAAGATAGAAACGTAGTTACGATCTTCTCAGGTATGGTGCCTTTATCTCTTTCAGCAGTTTCGGATGCTAATCATAAAACAGCCCCCAATTACTGCTACAGATGTGGTAACCAAGCAGCAATCATGGAGATTGATGAGCACCTTAAATATACTTTGTAAGTAGCAACTTTATCCTCCTCGATCTCGCAGTCTCTAACATAATGCAGCCTACAATTTGATCCATGCCCAAGAGCTGGAGAGCCAATGGTATCACGTCGTAAGTACCCTAAAAATTCAAATCTCTGTTGCATCTCTTGCTAACCATGGCGATAGGTACTCCCGATTACTTCCTCTAGATATACAGATGGAGCGACATAAGACGAAACACTTTGATATGCGATATTGCGTTACAATGATTGGGACAGAAGCAATGAACATTCTGTTTTCTGTATGTGAGGTTCTATGGCATCCTTTGGGAATAGTATTCTAATTGGTATTGCCTACGAATAATACATTGGTGGCCTAATCCGGAATTCATCCAACTTTTGTAGACTTGCATTAGACTACTTATTATACCAAAATGCAAAAAAGCAGTTGAGGATATTTTCTTTGAAGGGGG